CTTCCCCCTAGAAGGGGGGGGGGGGGGAAATCAATTAAGGAAGTATGCATACTTAGCTTTCTAGGAGCCTTTTAGTCTAACAGATTTGTCCACCAAGAACGTTTGCCCAGTCTCTACTTTTTAGGACAATGGAACAGCTTAATAAGTGCTGTCCAGGGAAAATTCCAGAAATATGTTTTTCCCCCAGCAATTCAGGATTGCTAATGGATACATTATCACCACCAGTTGACCTTGCTGAATACGAGAGAATTTTCCTCTTGCCATGTAGGAAACCAGAGCAGTAAAAACAGGTAGTGCCCATATTATGAGGGTGTTTGATTTTCCTTCATATACCATTTGGTGGCAAGTGAAGTACAAAAAGTGGACTCCAGAATGGAGAGAAGAGAAATCAAGGAACAACCAGTGCCAAAGTTAGCAAACAACGTGTCCTCCCCCTGGATAAGGAATGCAGGTCTATGGCTCAGGGACACAGCTCTCTCTTCGTTGTCCACTGAAGTTTTTATGTGCTAAAGGTCAGTTGCTTGCACTGCTACCGTAGCTACATATGACTACTAATCTCATTAATTACTTTGAACATGTGTATAAAATTGAGGACTCTTAAACTACACACAATAGAAAGTAGGTGGGAACTCAGAAGGCCTCCTGACCAAATCTGTTACATCATCTTAGTCCCCACAAGCATGTCAAGCACCAAAATTAGTAGTCAGATGTTTAGAGGATGGGAGGTATTTCTTCGTAACTGTACACTTCCATTTGAAACTAGGTAAAAAATCTAGGCTAATGTTCTCCTAAACAGGCTCTCGTTTTATATTGCATTTAACAACTTTGAAAGCATGTAACCAGGAAGATACTAGAGAAAAAGAAACATAAGTGTTAATAAAGTCCTACCTTTACTCACCAAAATAATTGAATAGCAGGAGAAAACATCCTCAAGTTCTTCACTGCCTGCCAAAGCTGTGGCTTTTATCATAAAGCACAGGTGGGACTAAGACCCATTCAAACTAACTAATCTTATAGAGGTGTCCATTATATCCAAGGTTCACTCCTCCAAATGCCTTCTATTATCTCAAGAAATAAAAAGAATGGGACCCGGACATTTTAGAACCATTTTTTTTCAGCAAAGTGTTAGATACAGGATTCTGCTAAAAAGCTGTACCTGCTTTAAGTACCAAGAGCTCTTCCACTCAGTCCCCTTCTAGCAAAAAACATACTAAGGGGTTAGGTTTGCTTGAAGATGTTAGTATATTATGACGAGGTGTTTAACCATTATGACTCACCACTAAAAATAAATCACTAGTTAGAGCCAGTAAATCATCATCTCAAAAATGCAGTAATATCTGCATGTGTAGGACTGATTCAAATGAAGTCAGAAAGCCTCCAGTAAAATAAGCTCTAACAACTTTACAAACTTTCAAGTTTCTTTTCCAATTAAAATTTTTTTCCAGTCCTGCTGCATCACCCAATCCTTTATCTCCTGCTAGAAGGCAATGTCAAGACAGTAGGTCCCACTGAGACAGAAGCATCTTGCTCAGTAACAGGAGGAGCTGAACTGGAAACACCTGTTGCTACAATCAATTTTGTGGGTGCATGGAATTCAGCATGTGTTTAAACACATTCTAGTTCAGAGATGTCTTTTGTTTGCATTTTACTTAAGAGAAAGAACATGAATGCCATTGTCAAGATAGTGTCACGCATTGCACAAAAAGATTGTTTCTCACCCTGACTCCAGTTACCTATTCCACATATTTTGGAGCCCAATACTTTAAGTCCTGAATTCACAAATTAAAAAGAAATCTAAACCGCAAGCACAGTAAGTGCTCATTTACAGAGCAAAGGTATGCTAGGCATTTTACATAGAGTTGAACATGCAAAGTTCTGGGCCAGAATAGCTTGCACTCTAGACAGAACAAGCAAAATGCTGCCTGTCTAGAATGGAGATACCAAAGCTGAGGTGTTTCTGTTCCCTGTTTATAGGAGTAGAGCCTCTCCAGGGTCTGGAATGAACTCATACAAAACAGCGGGATGACAGCTAAATAACATTTACCAATCAAGTGGGCTGTAGTTACCTGTATTTCAATACCACTGACTTGCTTCTGCATTAATAAAGGAACTGTCTCAGAATAGGGCTCATAATAGAGTCGCTTGGTGGCTTTAGCCAAGGGACAACCTCCATTTTCATCCACATCCAGGTTGTGACATTGGTAAAAATCTCCATTTTACTTTATTTAAATATAAAATTTTTCCATATTCCAAGCCAAATTGCCAAATCAGATTCCAAATCCATGAGTCAGTCCAGAACCATAAGCTGCCCTAATACCAGCAAACATCCTCCACCCTGATCTGGGGCTTCAGATGTTTCCAAATTCTTTGGTGGGCATCCTATTTGCAGGCCCAAGCCCGAAGGCTTGAGGTTTGGATGCCCCCTGAGTTGTGCTTGGTAAAACGGAGATACTATTTTACTTCCTTCAAGGAGGTGTCGTGAGAACATGCACTTTTTCCATGGCACTTTGGTGTCAAGAGCTAGTCACAACAGGAATATGGTCACAATGAAATACTTCCCCATGCTCAAAGAAAGAAACTTTCCCTGGCAGGATTTAAGATCAGAACATGGTTTCTCAAAGGCTAGTGAAATTCAAGAATACCTGAATGTCTTCAATTAACAGGCCATATGAACTTATCAGATTTGAGGGGGAACTGAACAGAAACAACTCTGCTTTATCAAGGATGAGCCAATCCTGCTTTCCCATACACACCTTAGAGAACTTTCCTCCTCACCCTCAGGGGCTCTTGAGGCTTTTACCCTTCATACTTGGTTTCCTTTAAAGCTTGAGAGAGGAAGCCACCATACCTTGTTAAACTGGAAAAGGTCACGCTTGAGCCTCTCTCTCACAGGATCATGGCCAGATCTCAAAAACCTTCTCATTTTCCCCTCCAACAGCTTGGCACCAAAACCTAGCAGAAAAAGAAAGAAAAGCAAAGCTGTATTAAACAAGTGGAGTTTTAAAAGGGAAAACAGTTAGCTGTTTAACCAAAATAAAAAGCCCAGTTCTAACACACTTTAAAATCGGGACAGGAGGAGACACCACAGTAATAAAGTAGCTAAAACTCACTTTTAAGGAATAGTAAAAAATTCACATAATCCCATTTTCCTGTCACTCAGTTAGACCAATTCTAAAATCTTTGGGGTATTTTTAATCCAGTAAAATTTACACTTTGCAATGTTGAGCTCCCCCCACACCCTGACCTCATTTAAGACAGACAACAAGCAGCAGCACAGCCATCAGACATAGGTCCAGCTGTACAGACTATCTAACGCCCATGTTTTATAGCAGTATTGACTAGTATCAGCTCCACCCAGGTAATCCTATGGCTTGTGGGGGGAGAGAGGGGGAAGGGAAGTAAACATTTTAGGCTGACTTTGTTCCTACAACAAAGTGCAGGTGTTGCCTGGAGAGTAGTTATGTTAATTATTAACCTGCTTTTGTAAAACCTCAAGCTTAATTCTCTGCTGGGGAGGGAGGGGAGGGGAGGGGGAAGAGTCATGCACCTGTGGCCCAATGCACAGCCAAAAGGTAACAAGTTTCAGTACAGTTCTCTCTACCTTGTAATTCTAATCATTGCACTATGGTTTTTAAGATCCAGGCGAGGCACTCGATACAGAAATGAACTGCCTTGACCTGGCAGACTAGCAACAGCACTATGTGACATCAGAATATAGATGTAGCATGGCCAGAATCTCCCACTGCTCCAAGGAAAAGAAAAGATGGTTAGAGCTGAAGATTTAAAACCACGGATATGGATTTAAAAGGACATGTGTAACCTTTGGTAGAATTTGCCAGTAATACTAAGTGTTCTAGAAACAACAGCACTGAATTCCCACCTCGCTCCACGTGAGTTACACTTTATACCTGACCCCAGGGACAGGGGGGCCACTTGTCCAACCCAATTACTTGTGCTACGTGATGGAGATCACTGCCCTCCCACTGCAAGCCCAAGAACTAGGAGAAAGCTTTGGCTGCCTGTTGGCGCTTCTATACAAACAAATGGGTATCTCTGCATTCCAGCCAATAATGAGGTCATCGACCAAAGACCATAAATCAGCCAGCCATTCTTGCAGGGTTTTATTACAAGCTCCCAGCAAGGCCACCACAGTGTGAAGGGAGAGCAAAAGCAAAGGACAAAATTAACAAAATCAGCAAATTTTGCTGGAGGAAGCCCCGTCTTTTCTGCATCTCGACACGGAGAACCCCAATATGGAGTCCTGGTTCACCACTCAACATTGTCAAGGGGGTCCCCCAAAGGTTACGACTACTCCAAAATTTATTAGCAAGTTAGGACTGATTAAGAAAAGATAGGCAACTATTGTAAAGTAAGAGTCTCCCAACAATTTGGAGCAAGCATCCCGTGAATAAACTCAAAGCTCAATACTGCCGAGTAATGTACCGTCTGACTATCAGAGGTGCCAACAGCTTGCATCTCTTACTGACTGCAGTGGACTCAGGATGCTCACTTCTGAAGACTGTGAAATTGCTGCAGGTACTTAACAAAAGGCTGGAAAGTAAAATTCTCTCTGCCTGACCTCCCTTTCCAGTATTTAGTTTTCAAACAGTCACTTAGACCTCAGCTTCCCAACTGGTCCCTGCTCCCTTTGCCACTGAGAAAGAGATGCATGAATGGGAGCCACTAGGCTGCATTTGCATGACCAAAGGTGGGAAAAATTGGCAGAAAACTATTGTTAGCAGAAGCAGGTGTGGGAAAAAAAGATAGAACCCAGCTGTCTGCTACCTGAAACCCAGACTGCAGGGAACCGGAAAACACCACCAAAGGAGGAAAGCAGGCAAAAGGTGGAGAATGAACATGTTTCGAAGCAAGTCCCTACGAGAGAATCTGATGAAAGCTGTTTTCACAAAAAGATGCTAGGACGGCTCCACACAAAACTGTTCAGCAGGTTCGCATGGCAGTGCCTCTGGAAGACTGCAGGCTCCCAGCACGTAGCCCTCTCCACTTGAAAGTGTGCAGAAGCTGGTAGAGCAATGACAAGCTTCTCTGCTATGCAAGGAAAAAATATCCCGCCCATGTTTGCCCTGAGCCAGCCAGGCAAGGGAAAGCGCCAAGAGAGACACACCCTTTCCCATTTTCAATCAATCCCCCAAACTTGTTAAACACGGCAAACTCACAGGGAAGCTTCAGAAACCTGCACTCCTGGTTTTACCAACATGAGGAATGGAGATCCCTAGAGTGCCAATAAACGAGAACAGAAGAGACAAGGCAAAGGGAAGAGTGGGTTTTATTTTGATACAATACTCCAGTGCAGCTGCCCATGCCCTGCTACAAGGTTTAGGAACACTATTAATTGCATCTAAAACCACTCTGCTTTTACATGCGTGTGCCAAGAGACACAGCATTCACAATTCAGACCACAATGACCGGCTTCTGACTAAGAAGTCCCAGCAGTAGCTGGCACCAAGATGCAGCACCTTGGCAAACTGATGCGCTGGTTCTGTTACAGACAGAAAAGATGACTTGCCACAAAGCAAAAAAATCATAGCAGTAATTTATACTGGGGTTTAACATCCAACCAGAGAATTCCTGAAAGAGAAGAAAAATAGGAAGAACGAAAACAAAGAGGGGAGACACAAAATACGCAAAAGAATAAGCTATTCAAAGGATGCACAAACTTTAGCAAGAGGCCACCAAGGAAAGATTGATTTGATCATGGCATACCTGTCATAACAGTAATTAACCACCAAGGTTTTGGCCTGAGCATATGCATGCTTGTTATACAGTACAAGAGAGTATTTCTGATGCCAGAAAAAATCCCATGACCTCTCTGTTTTACTAGCTCAAATCTCTCCTCCATACATCTTACTGATGGACATAAAACTGCAGGTCTGTGCACTGTGCAATTACAGATTGTGCACACAGCTACTATTGGTCACAGACAGCATCTGCAATGGCTGTGGCTACTAGCAGTCAGAATGGAATCCGCTATTGGTCTTGGAAGCCATATCATTTGTGTAGTTGATGCTCTTATTTTCCAGGGAAGCAAAGCCTAGAAGAAACTGCAGTCTCAGCCTCTTAGCACAACCTCTGCGCTCTTCAGCCTTACATCTCTGCTAGGTGAAGTCCACATTTCAGCAAAAGGGAATGTCAGCCTACCTACAAGTAACAATACCCCAAATTTCCTTCCATACTGAGTGCGAACAAGGAGGAAGAGAACAACAATGCCTTGCATCCAGGCTTACAAAGGAACCCTAAAGCTGGCTCCTCAAGCTTTCCTGGCTCTCAGTTCACATAAATATTACACAAATACCCTTGAATGCCACAGCAGGGGTGGAATTTTCCAAAGCACCACAGCTTGGAGGGGTTGTGGGTCGAGGGGGTGATGCAAAAAGTTCTGAAAGAGATCAGGAGAGGGACGTGGTAACAGATATCAGCAAACTGCCAGAGGGACAAGTAGAGTAGATCTGGAAGGAGCTAGTAGGGAAACGTTGGAAAGGAAAACACGAGTAGTCAGGAAAATCTTAGTAGTCAGAGAGAGACAAAAGGTAGGGCCTGCCACGATAGAAATGATACAGCTTATGGGAATACCCTGTCGCTCAAAGGGTATGGGGAGAACACAGCGTTTCTTCAAAGTGGTGGGACGGACGAAGTTAACGTATAGATCTTGACAATGTCCTGTACGGATTAGTAGGGAAAGAGAGGAGGGAATGGGAAATTCTGAGTGGTTTCATTATGAATCAGATTAGTAATCTGGAAAGTCTGTTTCCTGTTAGTGAGGAAGGGGTTATACTTCATGGTGAGGGAATACGTACAACTAGCCTACTTGGAATTGCACTTCTACAAAGGTGAGGGGTCGAGTATATGAGCACAGATCAACTGGAAAGCGTTGTTTGACCCAAGTGGGATGGAGTAAATGGGGGGCAAAGCCTAAAGGGTGAAGACAAGATAAGGAACTGGTACAGATATCTATCTAAAGGTAGCAGAAAGTAAGGGTAATTCACCCAGCTGTAACACACCAAGGTGGTGTGGCCATAACATAGTGCACTGTGCGGTATGAACAAGAAGTGTATGATGTATATATGTTTGTGTATCAGCGTTTTGTTTGTAACTGAGATTTGTAACCATTTATTCATTACTAGTCAGCTATTTGCAGGGGGGTTCTGTCCCCTCAATTTATACTTCCTAACCAATCCTTGTTGACTTTCCCATCGATAGGCCAAGATTTAACAGCTTTTTCTCCAGTGCTGCAGGGCATCATCAAGAACATTTCTAGGCTTTTGGCCTGCTGCTGTTGTTCTCCTTCCCCTCTCCAGCTTCCCTCAGATCTCTGGCACCAGGGAACACTCCCAGGCGAGATTTTCATCTGAGCATCAGACAATAGCTGTTAAAGACAGGGCAGCAGCAAGCCCAGATCTCCACCAAAGCTTTGTTTAAATTACAAAAGATCCAGTGCTCCATTACAGGAACTGCCAGTAAGTATTCTTATATACCAGGGGCTCTCCTATTTTTCCTACTCCCACCAGGAGTTTCACCAGGAGTAGCAACCATGGGAAATAGTAGAATAGGCCCCCTCTCCAATGATAACAGTCTACCCTAATGCTCTTGCTATCAACAGTGTAAGAAGTAGAATAGACAGGGAATTGTCCAGAAAACCTGGCCCAGATTTTAGTAAAAACATACCTGAGCCCCATCTATAACTGCACCGTTATTCAGCACTGCAGAATAGCTGTCACATTTTCAGCATGCGCAAAGCCCACAAGACAAACACTGCTTTAACATCTAAGCCACCTCCCAAATCCAGAGGAGATGGTCACAAAGGTGATACCCTGCAGCTAGTTATCCGATGACAGATGTGCGCTTCCTGGAATCCCAGAGAATGATTAGATGGGTGCAGTGCCCTTCATAGGGTATCAAGCACAGTTGTTTCACTCCCCAAATGTGTCTGGTGAAATGCTGAAGAGAAGACATGCCATTCTGTACAGCGTTCTCAGAGAGGTCAAGTCCCAGTGGAAAGAGGGCAAGACTGGAAGGGATCAAAGTTTAATAACCCCACTGCCACTGATTTAGTGTCACCTTGGGCAATCACTTCATTTTTTCCTCCCATCTCAAATTCCACAAATACAAGTTGCTTCATTGGAGAGTTAAGAAATTAGTGCTGCTTTTACAGTGCTTGGACATCGGACATTATAAATGCCAAGGCCTACTTGGAGATGCAGTCTAAATGACTTCTAATACTCAGAGAGACCCAAAATGTAAGCAAATATTAGCAACAACATTTGTACCAGAATAGCACCAGGCATAATTTGGTGCTGTTCCTTGATTCTAAAAAGATTTAAGGAAGAGTAAGCAATGCTTCATTCAGCCTCTGTGTTTTCAAGGGTACTGTGCAGAGGTGAGCTAATGACTCCAAGCACAGATAAGATCTGCCAGACATAGCCAAGGAGGACACAGTATGTTAAAGGTCACTTTCTATCTGCCCCTTGTTAGCTTGAAAAGTACAACAATAAAAGGCAATTGACAGATTTTTTTATTAGACAATCTCTATGGCCTAGTAAACTCCAGCTGATCATGTTACTGTCTCTAAACCTAGCTCAGCTGCTACACTAAAAAAAATAAATAAAAAAAATAAAAAATAAAAAAAAAATTGGTGGTCAAGCGTGATATTGAAGTGAAAATGTATTACAAAGCAGAAGAAAAATCTTGGAAGAGTTGGTAGAACAGAAGAGCCTGGAAAATCAAGATGCCCCGCTAATTTATGAAGCTCTGATTCAAGGCAAGTATTTCTAACTGACTACCCTTTCAGAGTAAGATTTAGACTGGGAATGGCTGCATGAAGTCAAGGAAGACTAAATACCAGGAAAGCCTGAAAGAAAGTGTAGCAAGTAGAGAAATTCCATCACTTGTAATTTTTAAAGAAACTTGATAACATATTAAAATGCATCCTGAAGAGAACAGTCCCAAACAGACTGAGGAAAAGGATGAGGGAGGTTCTCTTCTCCATTTTTATTGTGTGTGCAAATATGGGAAGGTCATCAAGTCAAATGATTGAGTAGGTGGTTTGCACATTACAAGCAACACAAGACAGTGCCTCACCCTCTCTCCTCCCAACATATGCATTGCTAAGTGAGGCTTGAAAGACAGATTCTGGGCAAACTTGAATGGTAACTGGATGCTGTTCAGGTCAGTCATGCAAGTTCAATGCATTATCACAGCACAGTGCTAACAGCTACTGTAAGTTGTCTAATTACTACAGATCCAGCAGTTGTGCAAACCTCATATGTCAATAAGATTCCTTTATTGCCCCAACATGAGGGATACAAGCACACAAGGTTTCAAAGTGCCACAGGACAGCAACACCCCTCTATAAAAAGAAATTTACCTGTTACAGTGAAAAGCCTGCTACATTCTCCCAATAAAAAGACAAATTGACATCGGAAGTTAAGTCTAGCTCCCAGCATTTGGTGAAAACATTTGAGGCCAGAAATCTGGAAAGTCTAGAGCAGACCATCATAAAGACTCCTTATTTCCACAGCAAATAAGGAGAAAGAAGGAAGTGGGAAGAACTGCTTGCAATGCTCACCTTTTCTTTCTGATGCAGAAATTCAACTTTCGCTGTTGCCAATCTCTCAACCCAAGACCTTTAATTAGAGACCTGCCCTGCACTTGTAATATTATGTTTGAGGAGCAGCCACAAAAGTAAATACAGCATGTTAACTGTATACACAAGGATGTTTAATCCTGGTAGTTTCACTTTGACAGCACCCCTGCATGGTGAAATAGTATAATCTCCCTCCACCCCCTACCCAGATGGGAGAGGTCCTAAAATGTAGTCAACCTGATTCAAAAGCAGTTAGAAATTGGTTATAGGCTTTTCTAAATAAAGCATTGGCTGAACTGACACAATCACTTTGGCAATCAGCAGTACAGGGAGAGTTACCTGGGCAGTCCTGAACGGGGAAAGATGGGTCTCAAGGCAATCCTTCTATTAAGACCTCCGGTACTAGAAAGGAGGCAACCTCTCTTCCTTCCTATCCATTTTCAGCTCTCGTAACCATGCTGCACAAAGCCGCTGAAGTTACTGTCTAACCATTCTAGAGATCACATTGCAGAGTTCCTGTGAGGCCGCTTATCACCACAGCATCTGGGCATTAAGCACAACACAACAGTGAATCATTGCACCTATGGGCCATCCCAAGTCTCTCCTTTATTAAGACAGCATTTTTATGAAAATGCCAGGAAGACGGCTTTCAAGGCCTTTAGTTTTGCACTGTCGTTTCACAGGCGATACAGGCTCATCTTCTTGTCCAGAAGCAGGAAGTTCCTCAGCCAAGGGGATTTCACCAAACATCCTGCTTCCGGGCGTTTCAACCTGCGCTCCGCAAGTCAGAGCGGTCTGGTCACCTGGAGCGCTCTCAAAGAAAGGTACCTCGTAGTCAGTAAGATAGCCAGTTACAAGCAATAATAAGCGGCCTTGACAGTTCAGTCAAATCCACCCCCTATACATCAGAGGCATAACCCTTCTCACATGGCTATCACTTTCTGAAACTGAGTGTCATCACCGGTCAAGGGCCCTGCTCTAGGAATACCAAGACTGCCTTTTGCAGCCTTCAGTCTAACTGTTTTGCAAGGATTAATCCTCATCCTGCAAAAGGCGACATGTCAGGAACCTGCATTCCCGATGTGGAAACGCGGGGCAGATTTTGGAGAGGCTCTCTCAGAAACACTAAATGCTCCCCCACAAGTAGGCAGCCCTGGGACGAAACAGTATCCCTGGGCCAGGATGACCACACCTGATCTCTTCCCACAGCTCAACGGGCGAACGCAGCAGGGGATACAAGCAGTTAATACCCATGACTCTGGTCAAGGGTGAAATCAGGAAGCTGGCGAGAAGCAGCTATAGGAGCTTGCACACGAGTGCCAGGGAGAAGCTCGCTGGGTGCAACGCGGGCAGGCAACACTCCTGGCTTTGTTTGTCATGGAGCGACGACCGCTGGGCAGGGCGTCTCAGGTGGGTAATGCGAACGCGAGTCAGTGCGAGCCGCTCTCCTACCCCGGGGCAAACACGCGCTTCTCCCAGGGGAGGCTTGGCCCTACAACTAACAGCAGGGGCCTGGCGCCGGGGAAGGGGGAACAGACACCCCTCGAGCCCATGCGGAGGAAGGGGGGGATGAACAACACCCCCGAGCCCATAGGAGGGGGAGAGGGGGACCCCCAAGCTCATGGGGGGAGGAGCTCCCGAGCTGAGGGGAGCCGGGTGAGACAGGTACCGGTCCGGGGGGGAGGGGGAAGGAGCCCCGCGCGGGGGCAACCGTCCCTCCCGCCGGGCGCGGGGCAGCTGGAGCCCGCGGCCCCGCTGCTGCTGCTGCCGCCACCCTCCCTCACTCACTCCGTCCCTCACTCACTCACTCGCCGGGCCGGAACAGGCCTGGCGCCGCGAGTCCGTGCGGCGGCGCCCCAGCACCGCTCCTGCCGCCGCCGCCACTCCTTCCTGGACACCTCTGGGGGCGGGGCGGGCGAGGCGGGGCTCACCGGCATGCAAATGAGGGGCGGGGCGCGAGGCCACGCCCACTCCACGCGCTTGGGACTCATTGATGCGCCCCTCCCTCCCCGGCTGGCCAATCCGCTGGCAGCCCTGACCGCTCATGAATAATACATCGCTCCCACCCTCCAGTGAGACCCCGCCGGGAGATGTTTCTCCGCCCGGTAACGCGGCCGCCGGGACTCAACCCGGATATGTTAATAGAATTATTACTATTCATGAGGTGGCGGCCCCGCCCACCCCCTGCGACCTGGACGTACCTGCAACAGCAGCGAGCCTTCGGACTCGGCCGTGTGCCTCCGCGCGGGGCAGAGGCGCTCCCAGCACCCCCTGAGCTCGGGGGCGGGGACAGGGGTAGGGGCAGGCCCCCCTCCTGGGGTGAGAGGTTTGCTGGTGCAGGGGGGAGGCAGCACCCCCATGCAGGTACTTGAGGAGAAAGGGATTGAGGGGCTTGGCTGCCTCCCACCTCCAGGGCATCCCCACCTGTCCAGCCTGTCTCCCCTCGGAGGACGGAAGGGAAGCATCGCTTCTCTCCATGCAACCCGGGATGCCATTAGCCTTCCTTGCCACACACGGGCTCATATTTAACTTCTTGTCCACTGTACCCAGGGCCTTTTCTGCAGAGCCGCTGCTTAGCCAGTCCCTCCCAGGGTGCTAACGCTGCTAATCACCTGCCTCTTCCTCCTACAGAGGGAGATGGCATCTCTGGACCTGGACCTGTTTCAAAGGATGGGTGGTTCAGAGGGTTGAAATGACCAGCAGACACACGGCTGGTTTCGGACAGGGTGCCAAAGTGCATCAGGCCGGATCTTACTCCAGGGAGCGGCCATTTACATGGTGCTGAAGCATCTGAACAGAATCCTGCTCCACCCTACTCCAGCCTTTTAAATGAACGTGTGCACAAAGGGTAGAGACCTCCTTCTCACTCCTTTGGGTGTCTTAGTCTTCATATTACTTTTGTAACCTACCTTCATCTTAAGTGACTCGAGCAAAGTGGAATAGCAGTCTACTTAAATGCCTGCCTGCCACTTAAATGTGTAATAGGTGGGATAGGAGCTGGCTCGTGCAGTCTGCAAGATGAGCCAAGGCTTTGGAGCCAGTGGGAAAGATAAAGGATCCATTTCAGAGGCTGCCCGAGCTGCCCAGCTCCTATCGCTCCTGCAACAGTGCGATTCAGAAACAGCTCACTGGTCCCACACCTGGGCACCCTGCTCCTGGTGCGCGGGATTCTTCTGTCCTAAGTGCAGAACTCTGCATTGTGCTTATTGAACCACATGAGATTTTTCTTGGTCCAATCTTCCAATTGGTCAAGGTCTCTCCAAAGCCTAGCCCTACCCTCCAGTGTATCTGCTACTCCACCCAGCCTGGCATCATCCGCAAACTTGCCGAGGGTGCGCTCCATCCCATCTTCCAGATCATTGGTGAAGATATTGAACAAAACCAGCCAACACTAGCAGCCGTCTTCCAGATTCTGCAGAAAATGCAACTCGGAAATGTGTCTGGTGACAAAAGTTCAGAAACATTTATGGTCGTTGAACAGCAGACCAGTTGGTCTGATTAACAGTCAGCCCAACCTGGAGAAGCTTGTCCTTGACCAATAGAGACACCACTTTATTCCCGCTCCCCAAAGTCTCTGCAAGGAACTGGTCTCCCAACTCCTGCATTTACATGTGTGTACCACCCCCCCCTCCACCTGCCATCTCGTGCCCACTCACCTCTCTGTCAAGATGTTCATTTTTGTTTTGTTTGCCAAGTTCACACACTTGCATTCTCACTAGTAAGTTCCAGCTTCTATATTTGTAGCTGTTTTCATACTCCCTTCAACATCTTTTTGTTCATTAGTTCACATTTATTTTTTTCTTTCTCCAGTGGTCAGGAGGCCCCTTTTTCCAATATTGCTTTTCGGCACCATAGCTTACTATAGCTTACCATAACTATGGTCTCGCACAACTGGAACTCATACAGCTGGGAGCAGGATTGCAACCATTCCTGGTTTGCCTGGCTGCCTCTCAATGGTGCTGGGGAGACAGCATGTGATCCAGGGCCAGGGAACACCTACATGCCTGGAAAGAATGTGCCAGTGGGTCATTGGGCTGCAAAATGCCATTCGATGCCCTGTCACACCTTGGCAGCATAAGAAAAGGTTACAACCCTGCAACAGCCCCTTGCACAGTCTTCTGCCAGAGGCAACTTTTCAGCAGTACAGGTCAAAACAGAAATTTTAATTAAGACACCTCTTGCCAGCTCCCTCCTGCCATCCTGTTGCAAAATCCAGTTATTCCAGGACACAGGCTGAATGGGAAGCTGGACATCAGTCAGCATCACGCTCCCCTTTGGGACAGGCAGCAGAAGTTGCACTGCTGAGCCACGGTCCTGCTGTTTCTCAATCCTCCCCACAGTGGTTATTAAACGGCAATTGATTTGTGCTGAATCAGGGAGTCTCTTCCCCTAGCGAAACTCATCCAGTAAGCTTCTGTAGAGTCCACTGATACAATCCTACTACTGTGTAGGCATACACAGTGCTGACTGAAGTCACCGGGAATTGTGTCCACCTAACTTATGGATAAATTCAAGCCCTGTGGCTCTGACTGTAGCTCTTCTTGCTCTGCCTGTTCTCAGCTCTCCCCACACCACCTGAGGTGTACAAGAAAAGCGCTGAGTTAACAGAATGGAGCCACCACCAAGTCAGGCCTTTAAGTAGTCTGGCAGGCAGAAGGCAGAGAATACAACATATTCCTTTTCAGCAGTTACAAAGGGGTACGTTAAGGTATCTATATAGCAGCCCAGACCCTTGGCTGATGATCTAACAAGCACAGGGCCACATAAACCAACGAGGGGAAGGCACCCCGACCTTTTGGTGTGGTATCCAAGAGACCATACAAGAAAGATGCGCCATGCTGATAACATCCCAGGCACAGATACCATCAGCAGGCCAATCACCAGACACAGACCGTAGCAACTCTCTGCCTATGTTCAATAACAGTGCAGCTCCTCGTGCAGCTGCCTCAGAGGACAAGGCACTGCTGACAATTTTCCTTCAAAGGACAAAGAAATAACCACACTCAGAAGCTTGCATAGTTGGGCAAGGCTCTTTTAATACTTTAGCCTTTAAATCTCCTCCAGCAAAAATAACAACAAATCATCCAAATAGAGGTTATCAAATAAAATGCATCTAAAATATTTTCTGTAACATTTCTGAAGAAAGCTGCACCCTGAGCCCAACAATGCTGAGTCCTTTTATCCACAAAGCAGGATTTTCCGGCACTAGTCACGTTGGCATTTCTGCATAGAGGTTAAAGCATGTTTGGCCCCCGAATATTCAGGTGGAGAGTCCTGATCCCCATGATGAGGCCTGGGGTTAGTTCAAAGATATGGAAGAGTGGTTCTCAGCCTGGAATGCAAGAGCCAGAGAACTACATGGCTTATGAAGGATCTGGGAGTCTTACATGAGCTCATCTTGCTTGAGAGAGAAACATGCACCTGCATTTAGGAAAGATAACATCAAATGGAAACAGAGGGCCACACTACCAAGGTTGTTAGAGGTGTTGACATCAGGTGCTGATGTTCATGCTGTAGCTCTGACCTGGGATGATGCTGTGTTGCAATGACCCATCTTAATGCAAACATTACAGTACAACATTAGGACATTCCTCCAAAGTGCCTTAAGGCTTTTTGTGATACCTTTGGTTCACAAAGTGCTTCCCTTGTCTCTGCAGGATTGAGATCCCTGGTACTGACTGGCACAGGACTGCAGTCTCCTGCCATCATATATATGCCATGGCAAAGCTGGATTCATTAGCCCTGTGGCAGAGGTTTATTGAAGTGACTTAGTTCTTTTTACACCAAAATGACAGCTAAGGATTTTATCTGATGGGCATTTACACAGGTGAGTGACAGAGCCCTGCTATTCCAGTACTGACCTCATTAACTTATGCCGAATCTGACTGACATCCAAGAGTGATTCTCAAACCATTCAGCCTGGTTGCTTTCACACACTGGCCTAAGTCAGTGGCCCTCAAAGTATGATGTGGGTCATTAGAGAAGCTTGTTCTAATGGTCCAGGGGAACAGCAAAACATCTGGAGGACATAAGAGGAAGTGGTCCATGGCATGGGCAGAGCAGGAGGACCAGTAGCTTAAAAAACAAAGCAGTGTGTGCTCCCATCAGGAAACACCCGGGTAAGCTGTACAGAGATGGCACTTGGCTGTTTGAATTATATTTGGCTTTTATGAATGAGTCAGCCCCTGGGTGGCTAAAGTCTGGAGCAATGGGTAAAGCATCTCCTCATTCTGCAAGTTAATTTGTTATCAGAGCTTCTGTGTGGTATAACCATGTGCACCCGCTGAGATTAGCGGTGCACCCCCGACAGAAGCACCGCCGATGCTGCCGGCGGCACCTGAGGGCGGTCGCCACTCGCCACACCCTGCCCCACGTTGTTCACTGGTATAACATGCCATGAATCAAGAGATCAGGTCCTGAGTAAAGTTCCTCCTTTTGCCAAAAGCCACTTCTCCAAGAGACTGCAGCTTCAGTGATAAATATCAACTGGGAGCTTGAATTCCTTGAACGAGTAAAAAGTAACATCTCCATTGTCCACCAAGGCAAAGACCACAGGGACATCCTGGCTCTGGTAGGCCAGCTGCTTCACCGCTCGCAAGGATGGGATCTGCTCGTCAAACCTGGAAAGGGAAGGGAAGAAATACTGTCTTTTTCAAAGCACAGAAATGGAAGACTCCATGGGGAACTTCTGAGACCCACAGATCAGCAAAGGCACATCAATGCTAGCACGAAGGTGGCCCTCACATCTACCAGGGCATCCTCGAGAGAAGATGGTCATAAAGTCTTTTTAAGATTTTTACAGCCTAACACTGAACCTCTCTGAATCTAAGTAGGCAGGCCACCAGGGCATACAAGAACTACTCCCCTGTGCTGAAGATAAGTGTAGCTGCAGGTTGCTCTATGCTCTGCCAATTAATTGCAGCTCACAGGCTCTTGACAAATGACCAGATAAATAAAATTTGACTGCCATTGTGTGGGACAGATATGCAGGCCAGCAGGCTCAAAATCTGGCTAGCATTTTTCCCCCTTGTGGTTGTCTGCAGAGTCTATCTGTTCTTCAGTAGCGGCGTTCATGTTCTCACAGCGGGGATTGCAATGCTAACTCATAAGTGCTTGAGTACTGGACCAGCTGCACTGGTTCCTTGCCTGCACCTGTGATGTATTTCTGCTGTGACTGCACACAGCAGAGGAGCAACAGGTTAAAAGTGTCAGTGTTAAGAGATATGGGTCCCTGACAGGTATTCACTTTAAGTGATGAGATCTAATCCATGATCCCAACAATCACATCTCCTGCCATGTCATACACATGCCTGGCAGGATGCGCAATTTTTGGATTGGGGATTAGCTCTCAGTTGCATCTTACTTGCTGGTGGAGGGGGAGTCCAGGATAATGACACTGGGCTCCCCCTGCACCAGCAAACTGAAACTGAGATATCTACAATAAACTGACCAGGGACTGGGAATCAAACTGGTCCCCAGCCCCAGCCAACAATCAGTTGATTGTCAAAACCCCAGCTGGGGGGCACAGGGACTCCAGAATCAGGCTGCTAAAGCCCAATCCAGGGATCCCTGTGTGCCAGGGATGAGTAGAAACACATGTCCTGCTCAGCAGGGCAGCATGTGCAGTTTTATAGCTCCCAGTACAGAGGGAGCCTGGTGCCAGGGTCCCCATGTGCCAGAAGCTGTAAAATCATGCATGCCATCCAGCTAGATGACCCACAGGGTTTTGACAGATCCTAGTGAGCAGGGAGCCCAAGGCCAGGGTTCCTGTATGCCAGGAGCTATAAAACCATGTATGCCATCCAGCTGGGTGGTACATGGTGCTTTGACAGGTCCTCGGCATGGGTGGCAACATTCAATTTAAGGCAGGATATGAACAAGACAAAGTTATTCCACATTGTACATAGAATAACTTTGCAGTTCATTTACTCTGTTATCACACCTTAAAACTGATTTGCGTGTGGTTGGGTTACTATTTAAGGTGCGATTAACCTGTTACCACATCTTGAATTGTAGCACATATCAGAGCCCATAGGGACTGAACTATGCACCAGCTCAGCAACTGAGTGTCATATTCTAGTAATAGAGACAGTGCTGGCAACTACCCTCCTGAAGCAAATCAGCAGCTAGCACAGTAGAATCAGAACATAACCCTGTTGCCCAAGCCTGCAATGAGCTCTGGGCAAGACACCCCTAGCCCCATACGGAGCCCCACAAAAGTCCAACAGGCTTTATACAGACTGAGGGATCTGCTGCACTGAGCTCATGGCTGACCCAGGGCCTAGGACAGTATCCTGAGCCTGCCACAGCATCAGCCAGTTCTTTCTTTACATTCAGGCACATAGTTGTGTTTCTTCACAAGAGCCCATACCTCCGAACGCACATCCTGGCATACGGCTTCCCAGGGTCATTCTTCTTAAAGGTGGCAACAGCATCTGCCTGGTACACATCAAAGTCTATCTTCATATCCTTGGTGTCCTCCTGCAGCCTGTAGATGATTGGATAAGCAGGAACCAAATGATACACTGCAGGAGTCTGCACCATGCATGGAAGCAAAGAGAAAAAGGCCCCAAGTCTGTCTAGCTTCAGCCCCTTAACACTCCCTTAGTCCTCCAGAGCCATTCAGAATCTTCCTTCTGCAAAACAGCTACCTGGGGGTCTGCAAAGTTTCCCATCCTTCCTGATGCCAGACCTGGTCTGCAATGGGCCAGCTCATACCTTGCTCTCTTTCTGTTGCCTTTGTTGTAGGCATCCAAAGCAGCAGAGACCTATATACTGATTATGCTGCTGGGACACCTGTCTGCATCACCCCACTGGGGAGAGATGTTGGTGAAAAACCCTGCCTTGCCCTATGGCCCCATGCACAAGCCCCAGAAAGTCTCTCCCAGACAGAAATGCAGCTGGAAGTCCTGGGGATTAGATTTTTAAATCTTAATCAACTGCTGCAGCTGGGTAGGAAGCATCATTGCAGGGACACCTATTGTGTCCAGTTCTGTGCGCCCCATTTCAAGAGGGATGTGGACAACATGGAGAGGGTCCAGAGGAGGGCCACCCACATGGGGACAACAGGGCAGACCCTACAGTGAGAGACTGCAGGACCTGAACCTATTCAGCCTCCACAAGAGAAGGCTGAGGGGGGACCTGGTGACCGTCTATAAACTCACTAGGGGGGACCAGAAGGGTTTGGGGGAGACGCTGTTTCCCCTAGCGCCCGCTGGCATAACAAGGAGTAATGGGCACAAGTTGATGGAGAGGAGGTATAGATTGGACATCCGCAAAAACTACTTCACAGTTAGGGCGGCTAGGAGCTGGAACCAACTTCCAAGGGAAGTGGTGCTGGCCCCTACCCTGGGGGTCTTTAAGAAGAGGCTGGATGCCTACCTGGCTGGACTCATTTGAGTCCCGTTTTTGTTTTGGGGTTTTGTTGTTCTCCCGCCCTGGCGGGGGGTCGGGCTAGAAGATCTACTAGGTCCCTTCCGACCCTAAATCTATGAAACTATGAAACTATGACACGACACACCCTAATGAAGCGCTCAGCTTTAGGTAAATATAGGCAACTAGACCTCTGGACAAGGCTCACAGGAGTCAATGCAGAGTGGAATTCAAGATGTGAAGGGTTTGCTACAGTACACTGGACTTTGCCCAAGCATTGTAATAAGAGCTAACACAACCAAGTGATAATCAGCCTGAAGCATATGTGCTGTGTTACTGTACTCTGCTGCAGACACGCACAGTTTCAGCTAAATACCAGCCCTTCACGAGGCATCTGGTACACTAGACAGCTCCCAAGCCGCTATGGAGAACATCTTTCAGACCCCGCAAAGAGAGACAAGACATTACGTTCAGTCAGACCTGCGCATGCTAGAATCTCCTAGCTGTCAGGATTGATACTAACCGGGAGGCTCCATCCAGGATGTGGGAGGGCTGTAGCACACTGATCTGTTGGAGGACAGCAGCTGTGGGAGAACAAACAGGAAAAGATCAGACTGTTCAGTTCTGTCTGCAAGGACTTCTCTATGCTTCCTCCTAGCTCAGTCCAAGCCTGGAACCACCTGCCTCCAGACCCCTGTCGGCATCTCCAAGACCTCTTCTTGATACTTCAGAGGCTTTTACTCCCACATCTATTCCCCTTAACTTGCTGCTGTTTCAGCACTGGCAAGGATAGCCCAACTATTTTCCCCTCACTGCTAGAGAAAAAAGCAGCTTCATGGGTCACAGAAGGAGAGACGGCAAAGCCCATCCACCATCTCCCCTGGCTTGTATGGGCTACTTTGGTGCTTGGTTCATCCAGATCCACAGAACGGGGCTTTCACCACTCAGGAAACTGCTCCTGTTCACAGCTAAGCCAGGTGTTCAGGAGAGCTTACCCTTCTTTCCGCTCCATCCCATTACTGCCACCTCCTGGCTAATGCTGAATCTTCCCCACACTGTCTATCTGCGTTAGTCACGTGGTCCCACTGGGGCCCCGCCATCCTACATTTAAGTTGCTTTCTCCTAAATCAGGTACCTGATGAGGCAACTTCATCTGGCTTCACCAGCGGGGTGACTGCCTGATCCCACAGGTGTGATGGCCGTCTCCTCAACCTCTGCTGCCTCCTCTGCTTCAGGAGCAACTTGTACTCCTGCCAGTTGGAGCAACGCCTCACCTCCTTGTCTGCATTGATGCTATTTTTGAACCGGCTTTCCCTTTCCCGCTGCTCCCGCTCTTTCTGCGACAGCTTCTCACGCTTCTGATTGATCAGCCAACGCCAACGGGTGGCATCCACTTCCTGGACTGCCACATTGTCTGGGAGAAGCCTCTTGTCAGGCTGGGGCAGGAAGGTGCATGGATGGTCAGATGCCATGTTGGGGAAGATGATTCTGGAGAAGTCCCAGCGGGATGAGAGGGCACCATCATAGCTCTCCTCAGCAGTCTCACTTGAGTCTCCAGCCTTATCCTGGCACTGGCTGGGAGACGCACTGTGTTGTGTGGTTTCAGCAGGGACTTGGGCTGAATCCCCTGTTTCAATGCCAGTATCTGACTCTTTGGACTTCCCTGACAAACAGCTCCCATCGGAGGCTTGGTGGATGGGCTCTCTCTGGCCCTCACTGGCCTTTTCCAGGGTCTCTTCAGCTTCCAGAGGGTCTCCTGATGCCTTTTGCTTCTTGTCTAGTACCCTACAAACAAGAATAGGAGTGGGGCAGTGTGGAAGGGACCATCCATAGTCAGAATTTTGCTTCCGCAAAGCCCTTTACTCAAATCTTGCCCCCTCTACAGATAACGGAAACAAAGTTGGGTCTGCTGAGCAAGAGAAAAAAAAAACAAGGGGCAATTAGTACACATGCTTGTGTTGCAGCACTGAGCACTTTTAAAGGTGCCTGGCACTGCAGCGCATGCATTTGTATAAATGGCGAAATACACATCAGCACTGAGAAAAGAGTGGCAGCACACTTTTTAACTAAAACACATCAAAGGTGTTTTATTTCAAAGTGCACCACCAACCCTTTCTGCACACTGACGTGCATTTCACCTCTTATACAATTGGACACGACACAGTGCAGTGCACATCAGTTCTCACGCGGAGCAGACTCAAGCAATCAAGTTAGCTCCACGTCAGATCTCCAGCACGTCACAGCGTGAAAAGGTTTGTGTATAAATGCCCTATGTATCAGTAGCCCATGCAAACAGTTGTGTATCCTCTGCACTATAGTAAGATATTTCCTGTTCTGAAGTACTCTGTTGCACTTTGGCATTTCCAAAATGCTGGCCAAAGCCAAACAGGAGTAGCAAACACATTGCTAAACATGCCACACAGCTCTGTAAATGCTCCACTGAAGCCCCAAACCTATTCCAGTTTTGGTTCCCAACCAAAATGTTCATTGTCCCTCTGTCCTGCCCTGTAGGACCCACCCACACCTCCACTCCTCCAGGCCTGGGCCCCCCGGACAGATGCTAACCAATGAAACAGTGGGATGGAGTAGGTTTACATACAGATAGAAAATCCAATGGGAATAAAACTGGAAGTACCAAACTCGTGTAATTTGTCATTTCCAAATGATCTGATCTCAGGTGCCTAGAAGTGTGAATCTACTACAAAAAACTGCATTTTGCTTCCTGCATCTTTCTTAAACTTCACCATAATCCACACGGCATTGACATGTTTGGGACGAAACTTCTCTGATAGCAGTGCCCTGGATGGCTATGCAAAGGTTCGGGTGGCGATTCAATTTGAAGGAGATTCGGCCCAATTTGGTGGCCAAATCTCCGAATCAAATCAGGGGACCAATTAAAAGGTCTGAATCAATTCAAAGCTCTCCAAATCTTCAGAAAAGTTTTGGGGAGCTTTGATGATTCGGGCACTCTGGGCTGCTAAGTACTGGGGGGGGCTG